ATCCTTGCGGAAAAAACCTATTCATATATAATATAATTACGTTTATTTTTTATTATACATATATAAATGTATTTATATAAAATTAAATATAAAATTACATGTGAAAATTAAATATACATATTTATGCAATGAAAAATAAACGTATTTATATATTTTATAAAAAAAGGTCACGAGAATGCAATCTCATCCATTGCTGCAACGCTGCATCACGCGTAATGTAACCTTCGTGTCGTCCTTATCGATAATTACATGGCAACTCTCGGTTCTCAATTAGACATCGTCGGAGAAGCGCGAAATCCGAGGACAGCTGATAAAAAAACACGTGTTATTCGGGGATATTTTTTGCAAAATCTTCGACGGGCAAAAAGATAACGACGAATATTTTATTTCGGGAAGCGAACGAGATAACTTGACAAATTAAGGTGGGATTAAGTCGAGGAACATTATTTCTCTCTGAAGCGATATATAAGAGACGGCATTTATTTTTTTTTATTTTTTTTTATTATTATAAATGGATATAAATCTCTGTCCGCGAGACAAGAGTCGATTTGGCAAGAGGCTACCCGCGGTGTCGGACTCTCAGGCGTTATAATTACGTGATTTCGACGTACTATAGACGACGGTTTTCACCCAACTTCCTCGTTTTCACCGGCGAGCTTGTGTCGGGGCTCCGTTCTACTTTCCCCTGAACTCTCGAGGCCACGCCTACATAAGCCGGGGCGAATATCTCGATCGGCTTCACAAAGAAATACCGACCTAGGGCTCCAATCCTGCATATTCCCTAAAACCAGGCGAGCCATAAACGGAAGGAATCTTGTCGATATCCTTTCAATTACTCTTTCACAACCTTTCACATTTTGTGATGGAGTAATATGAAAGGTAATATATTTCCCTTCTCCTCTTTTATATAAAGTATACATATACAGGGTGTCCCGGGAAAGTTTTTAATGGCAGATTCCTGGTATCATTCGAAGACGACTTTTTCTCAGCGAAAATGTCGAGACACCAATCATTTTCGAATTATAAGCAGTTGAAAATAAAGGTTTTTTTGGAAACTAAGCCTTGTGGAAATCAAATATTAACAGAACTATATTCTTCAATTAATTTTAGATAGAGTTTGCTTTAATAGAATTTTAATACAAGGCTTAGTTATAAAGATACATAATAAAAATTGGGAACATGCTAAAAATGATGGTCTCCCTCAACATTTTCACTGAGGAAAAATCGTCTCCAAATGATACCAGGAATCCGCTATCAAAAACTTTTCCGCCAGTTCTGGGACATCTTGTATATGTACACAGAAAGAATTTACTCTGAATCATAGGATAATAATCATAGATAATCGTGGGACGATATGATATACTGGAAGAATTTTATGAGTTATTATCACAATAACCAAAATATTAATATCTACCACAATAAGATGTAAAATATGTTCGATCAATTTTACTATGTGCAAAAAAAATATTAATATTCACCACAATAAAATGTAAAATATGTTCGATGAATTTTACATGTACATAGCAAAATTAATCGAACATATTTCACATCTTATTGTGGTAAATATTAATATTTTTATTGTGGTAAATATTTAATCAGAGAAACTATGTACATAGTAACATTTTATTTTAATTCTCACAAAATTCTTCCAATACCACATGTACATCACACTTTCCATTTTTTTAATTATAATATTTAAATACAACTTATTTACTTTATACATATATTGATACCGACATGAGTTTGCTGTTCTGAATTTTCACTTCTAGTGAAACAAGAATGAAATTAAAATAGACAGAACCTCTCTGCTCTTCTGTGATTTATATATTCCGTATATGTTACCTAAGCTTCTAAGAAAAACGTTGTCCTTTCATCGAAGGAAACGTCTCGCCATTCCGCTTATACTTTCTAGCGTGATATCGCTTTCTCACAAAACCGAGCGACGACGTTACGATATAAAATCGTTTGTGTTCCTCTCTTTTTTTACCGTTTTCTTCGGCCCGAATAAACCATTCTTCCTTCCCTCCACCTGCTCGATCTGGCAATGCCTCCGGCGGTATCTAGCGCAAAAGTGACGTGGGAGTTATATAGCGTTGGAAGTGTACAAGTGAAAGTTACGGGTATCGAACGCGTATAAACGACCAAACGGGAGCCGCTCTAAAGTCGAGGCGATGTAACCTTCTCTCTTTCTTTCATCTCTCTCGCTCTCGCGTGAAACTCGAGAAATTTGCCGGAAGAAAGTACCCCACGTAAAAAAAGGGTTGAGGAAAGGAAGTATCAACGATATAATAATAATATGGTAACGCTCTCCTTCCTCTCCGATGGCTCCGAATTTTCAGTTTCAAACAGGAAACAGCTGCTCGCAGGTAGTTTCGTTGTCGCATCCATTTCCGGAGTCTGAATTCTTTAGTCGCAATTATTCAATTATTTCATAGTAATTGTAACATTACTTTTCTAATTAATTAAATATTTATACGGTTTCGAGATGTCTCATTTATTAAATTTTAAATTGCGATCGATTTCTCAGATGAATGTATATAAAAATAATTATATACAACACGCTCATATGTGTGTATAATTATTTTTTTTTATATATTTTATGTATTTTATATATTATTTATAAACTCTACCTGAAATATTAACCGAAGAATGTGGTTTTGTTAATATTTTATTTCCACCAGGCTTTCAAGCGCTTATGTAACTCGAAAATGATTGGTGCCTCGACAACCTAACAGATTTTACGATAATTTTAGGACATCCTGTGCATAACATTATAAAGAATATTATTCGGCTCTTGAAATCAACATATAATTTTTTTTTAATAAATATGTTGGCTGTGTAGAAGACTATTTTGCAATAATAACCGACGCAAAAAGACATCGCGTTAGGCTCCTACAACCGACGTATTTATTTAAAAAAATTACACCCTATATATATAATTTGACAAAAATAATTTCGCCGCATTCTCCGACAATGTTTACGTCAATCTGCACTCTCTCTACATGGGAAATTTATTTCCATTCCTTTTCCCCCGACAAACCACTTTATCGCTCGCAATTTCGCTGAAAGATACTTGAAGATCTCCGCGTTCATTCTCGAGTCGGTGCGCGAGACGTGTACATACACACGATGAGATTTCGCTCGATTTAGTTTCTTGTTTCCTGGTTAGTCGGGTCGCCGCCGCGGCGTCCGATGAACCTGCGGGGCTAACGTACTTGAAGAGAGAGAGAGACTCGCCTTCTTCGAGCGGTTCCGTACTTGGCACCGCACGTGAGCGCACCATCGCGTGTCCTGCATACCCTTCCTTCCTTTTTCATCCTTGCGCTTCCTTCGCGTTCCGCTCCCTCATCGTTACCTCCACCTTCTTCCGCTCTACCTTTCGCATATGGGATTCGCGCGATCGATCGACCGTCGATGACCTCACTTCACCTGCGAGGAATAAAGATCCGGCTCAATTAACAGCGATAGAGGAAAATTCACGCGTAATTGAAAGATATTCGTGAGACGAGGATATTCTCTCGCAATTGCATTGCCAATGCACGGAGAGAATTTTCTCTCTTTGAATTTATCCTGAAAATTATGGGTAATTGTGAGAGTTTTTTTGATTAACATTTAGCATAAAAATATTAATATGTAAAATTAATCGGACATATTTTATATTTTATATTGTAGTAGAAATTAATATTTTTTTTATTGTGGTAAATATTAATCGGAGAAACTCTAATTATAAAATTCTTGACAAGTATACACGGAGAGAATTTTCCCTTAGAATTTATCCTGAAAATTATGGGTAATTGTGAGAGTTTTTCTGATTAACATTTAACACAAAAATATTAATATGTAAAATTAATCGGACATATTTTATATTTTATATTGTAGTAGATATTAATATTTTTTTTATTGTGGTAAATATTAATCGGAGAAACTCTAATTATAAAATTCTTGGCAAGTATACACGGAGAGAATTTTCCCTTACAATTTATCCTGAAAATCATGGTAATTGTAAGAGTTTTTCTGATTAATATTTATCACAAAAATATTAATATGTACATAGTAAAATTAATCGAACATATTTTATACTTTATTGTGATAGATATTAATATTTTTATTGTGGTAAATATATTAATCAGAGAAATTTTTATTATGAAATTCTTGGCAAGTATACACGGAGAGAATTTTCCCTTAGAATTTGTCCTGAAAATCATGGTAATTGTAAGAGTTTTTCTGATTAATATTTATCACAAAAATATTAATATGTACATAGTAAAATTAATCGAACATATTTTATACTTTATTGTGATAGATATTAATATTTTTATTGTATTAAATATATTAATCAGATAAAAATTTTTATTATGAAATTCTTGGCAAGTATACACGGAGAGAATTTTCCCTTAGAATTTGTCCTGAAAATCATGGTAATTGTAAGAGTTTTTCTGATTAATATTTATCACAAAAATATTAATATGTACATAGTAAAATTAATCGAACATATTTTATACCTTATTAGATATTAATATTTGTTATTGTATGAATATTTGTTTAATCAGAGAAACTAAAATTTGTCCATATTATCCCACGATTCTCATGCTTTTGAGGATGAATTCTAAATCCAATAAATATTGTACGGCTTTTACGTGGTTCTTTGAAAAAATGCCGGCGAGATAATGCCTCTTTCAAGAGTTAAATTCGAATTTACGAGGTGCATTTGGACAACTCTCGAGCATATTCTCTCCGGCTTTCAATATCACCATCTTGCGCCTTGCTCCGAATAAAGAGCCGTACAATATACATAAATCCGCTCTCTCCTCCCGTCCCCATATCGTCCAGAAATATGGAGAGGTCGACGACCTCTCGTGATGTAACACGCGGGCACAATTAACGACTTTTCAAGCGAATGAACGTATACATATGCATACACGCGATGACTCAAAACTACTGCGCTGACTACTGAGTTCACCCGAATTAACCGGACGGTTCTTCCTTTGGTTTTGTTGCAGACTTGCGGTGAGCGACTGTGCGCCTCAGACGTCGCGGGTCAGCTCGAACTTGCACAGCAGCAGTAGTATGGCGGTGAGCCGCGTCCCAAGCCCACCACCGCCGGAAGTGAACACCCCCGTGGCCGAGAACTGGTGTTACACGCAGGTACGTTTCACCGTGTGCTGGTGATGGTGCCCGCGCGCTCCGGGGGAGCTCTGCTGGTTCGTCGTCCTCCCCCTAGCGTGGTTAAGCGATCGATCCGCGCCGAAAATTCATTTCGCTTAGCTCGCCCCCGCGGCGGAAATGAGCGGAGAGACACGGGATTTAAGAGCGTCTGCGATGAATCCGCGTGCGGAAAATCGAGGTTTTATTCACTACGAAATATGCCACCGCAAAGGTACATATTTCATGCGCAGCAGTGGTGAAGTTCAATTGAACGAACGGCAAAGGCAGCAAAGCAGAAGAACACGCAACTAGTTTATTCTAATTATTATTATATAAGAATAAAATGAATTATTATGAGAATATCAAAGCAAAAATTGTAATTTTAACTTCAAAATAATAAGAGAACAAAGAAATAGGCTCTAATAAATTTTGATCACGTGACTGATTTGCTGCTGCAGTATGCTGCGTATGAAAAGGCACCCTAAGAAGGAAGATTTTCATGGGATATCAAATGTTTACGCAGAGAGAATTTTCTCGTAGAATTTAGCCTGAAAATCATGGTAATCATGGGACAATTATATGGTATTGAAAGAATTTTATAAGATATTTCTATTTTTTTTATTGTGGGAAATATATATTAATCATAGAAACTCTTACCATATGATTTTTCGGATAAATTCTCCAAGAGAAAATTATCTCTGTGTAAGAGAGAGAAATATTCATTAGATCTTTTCTTTAATGCATCTGCAAGATTACTCCGTCTGTTCTAGGTGCGATGATTTTAGATCGCATTCTCAGACGTTAGATGTTTCTAAAATTACGTATTTTTTTCGGATTCCGCCATCAATTCTTCAGATATTGCGATTCTAAAATTAAATTACACCAGGATAGACTTGAAAAATTTATTTATATTTTTTGAAACAGAGATTACAAAAAAATCGTTCAAAAAAAATCGAAGAACTTGTGAGAAACTATAAACATCATTTTTCACAGATATTTAAGAAGTTCTCTTGGAGGACGAGAGTTCTTCCAATTATTTTCACGATTAATAGGACAACCCATCCGAGTTAATCCGCCTTAGGGACGGATCTCGATCTAATATACTCGGTGTGGATTAAGGAAGAAATAGGAGGATTCGCGTTGAAAAGACGCGGTGGAGGATCATCGTCGTCGTCGTCGTCGTCGTCGTCGAGAACGCGCGTGAGAGAACGCGCTCCTGGCGCTCTCATTCTATTTTTACTGCGCGCTCGTCCCCCTCGCGCGATGTGAACGACCTGCAACTAGATATCTCCCGTCGTGCTACTACTCTCGTCGTTCTCCTCCCCCTCGGAACTTCTCCGCGAGTCGCGGAAACGCGTTGCGCGATTTTCGCTGGAAATTCGCTCGACCGTCCCTTTTCCTTTTATTTCCGCTCGGCGCGCTCGCGTCGTCGCGTAAATGTATACAGGGGGTTTCAGAACTGGCGGAAAAGTTTTTAATGTCGAATTTCTGGTATCATTTGGAGAGGATTTTTCCTTATTGTTAGTGAAAATGTTGAGGGAGACCATCATTTTTAGCATGTTCCTAATTTTTGCTATTATCAGGGTGGTCAGGGAAATCTGGAAAACCGGGCATTGTCAGGGAATTTGATAAATCTGGAATTGTCAGGGAAAAGTCAGGAAATTTTACTATTTATCTGGATTTTTTCATATTATTCTACATTTGTTTGAATAATTTGAAATTTTTATTAAATAAATATAAACTTTTTCTTGACTTCCAGCATGCTAATTTTCTATGTTGTTAAAAATCGATTCATCTACAACGTGTTTGTTAATTTAAATTTTTATCGTCATGTTATTTTATTTTAATGTGTTAAAAGGCGATTATTTAAATAGTTTATAGTGACATGTTTGTTTCAATTATCATACATAATGCAGATTGTATAATTGATTAAAATTTTTGTTTTTTTTAACTTCCGAACTTTTTCATTGTTGACAAAAATATCTCAAGGATTTCATGATTTAACATTTAATAGATTTATTATATAGATATTTGCAAATTTATATTTGGAAAAAATAATACTACAAAGTCAGGTAAAAAATTAATTTCTGGTCTTGGAAAATCTGAAAAAGTCAGGGAATTTTTTCATTGAGTCTGCTGGACACACCCTGTATTATGTATCTTTATAGCTAAGCCTTGTAAACTCTACCTAAAATTAACCGAAGAATGTAGTTCTGTTAATATTTTATTCTCACAAGGCTTAGTTTCCAAAAAAGCCTTTATTTTCAACTGCTTTTAATTCGAAAATTATTGGTGTCTCAACATTTTTGCTGAGAAAAAATCATCTCCGAATGGTACCAGGAATCTACCATTAAAAACATTTCCGCCAGTTTTGAAACACTCTGTATATACGAAATGCGATCGTCACGATTCGCGATTACGTGCTCACGTCGACGCCCTGGAATAAATAGAATGGATAAATAGATGGATGGTTCATTATCAGCCTCTGGGCGAGTCCACCCCCTTCTTCCTCCCAGAGAGATTCTCAACAATGGACAATTGTTGAATTGTTCATTGACAGTGGTAGATAAAGTTGGAAAGATGAAATGACAAAAAGTTGACGTAATAATAATACCATATAGTAGATAGTAATGACAAATGTATTAATGTGGGGAAATTGTATAGTCTCCTTTAATATTATACATTTGATAATATTGATAAAAAGTTTATTCGAACTTATTTTCACGAAAAAAAATATTAGCTAAATTTTATACACAGAGAAATTTTTCTCTCAGAATTTACCGTGGAAATTATATCTACCACAATAAAATGTAAAATATGTTTGATTCATTTTACTATGTGCATATCAATATTTTTTATTGTGGCAAATATCATAAATCGGAGAAACTCTTATAAAATTCTTCCAATTTAATCAATTTCAAATTTTCTCAAGTTTATAATAACTAATATTTTCAATTATAATTAAACAGGATCAAACGTTAAATTACATGGAAAATATTAATTACCATGACTAAAATTTAGGCATGTTTTTTTCGCGTTCTCGCGAAAAAATCTTTACGGTGTTAAAACAATTCCATCTCCCTCCTCTGGAATTTTTTTCAATACACGATGCAAAACACAAAAGGGAGATTTAATCGTCCGAGAGGAATGCACGGGAATAAAAAAAAATAAATAAATATTTATCCACAGGCTGGTAAATGAAATCTCCGATCGGTTTTTCTCGGTGCGTATATTTAACTTCCACCGTTCTAATTTCGACAGCGGCGCGTGGTAGAATGCGAACGTTTATTACGTTCGTTCGCCGACGCGGATTTCGCAAGAGCGACTACCGCTGAATTTTACGATACACCGGACAAAACTCGCGTTCGTGCTCGCGAATCGATCGGAGGGACACCTCGGCCGAACTCGCTCGCCCGAATAAATCGAAAGTCAATCCGTTTGCTCCAGTTAACTTTCGTAATGCACGACGACGAGGACGACGACGTCGATGTCGACGTCGATTTCGCCTTGTCACCTGCCTGTCCGCACTATCGCGATTTATCGGTCACATCGATAAGGAGCACGAACGCGTTGCGAATGCATCGACGATCGTTCTCGATCCTCGCGAAAAATTTGCGACATCGCGAATCAGCAATTCTCGCACCTCGTTCCCTTTTTTTTTCTCTCAGCAACCGCATCGATTTTTTAGGCTCGAACGTTTTTTTAAAGTCGATCGAGAGCATCTCGTCGCTGATACTCTAGATTCAAGGTTCAAAGCTGTTGCGAAACGATATCGCATCTGTCATCCGAAATCCTTGGTATTTAACGTTGTCCTTCGTAGATTTTTGGGTTTTTTTTTTCTTTTCATTTGCACGAGGACGCGTAAATTACGAGCATTAAGAACGAGTCTTTCATTGTCGCTCGAGATCACCTTGCAGAATCACCTTAACCGAACCTCGAGATACAAAAGATTTGTATATATTACTTAGAGTTTTGTAGAATTTCTTGTCTTTTTAAGAACCGTAGGAAATATAATTTCCAATTTCGAAATACTTCCGATAGCGAATTAAACTTTAAATCGTTTTCAATTATAGAAAATCTATTTTTTCTCTCACTTTTAATTTACCATTTTTGTGACAATCTTGAAACCGATTCTGCAAAAATAAAACCAAATTTCAATTGAAATTAAACCAGGATGTAATTTAAACAGATTTCTTTTTCGGATATTACCTAAAAGTTTCTATACATGCTGCAAGAATTGTGACTCCAAAAAAATTCCGAAAATGTTTCAGTTATCCTTGATATTTTTTACAAAAGATTTTTCAGTTTTATTTAGTAACGTATGGAAATATTAAAAAACTCACCGAAAAGTGATTCTGATATCTAAATACTCTGATATCAAAATGAATTTATTATTAAACAACAGAATTATTAAATGCCAGAAATTATACGGAGACATAATTTTTTTTAGAATTTACATTTATGATGATTTATTGAAAATCATCATTGGAAGAATTTTATAAGAGTTTCTCTGATTAAAAAAAACATTTACTACAATAAAAAATATTAATATCTACCACAATAAGATATAAAATATGTTCAATTAATTTTATATCTTATTTGTGGTAAATATTAATCAGATAAACTCTTATAAAATTCTTCCAATATCATATATTGTTCCACGATTATCATGATTTTCAGAATAAATTTAAAGACAAAAAATAGTTCCAATTGACAAACGGAGGATCCAAAGAAGGGATCGAGACATTCAATTTAAATGACGAATTATTTTACAACAAGATTGTCACGCCTAATTTCCTCTCTTGTAATTAATCTAAATAAAAAATAAAATTAGGCAAATGACCGCGTTGCATAATGAGACGCGCGCGCGTTTAAGAAATTCCTGGGATACGGGAAGTAGTATATTTTCGTAAAGACGTATACACGTCCCTCTGTCGCGGTCGTTCATCTTCTCGACGATCCACGCGCGGCGGAAGAGAGCCACGCCATATCAGAAGAGC